GGAGATCAGGGCTTCTTTGAGGAGGTGACTTAGGTAGAGACAAAGCAAGGGAGGTTTCCAGCCATGACGGACTATCTCATGTCAGAACAATCTTTATGCTGAGACCAAATGGAAACAATGCACACCCAACACAGAGATATAAAGCAGTCTATTTGAATACATCAAAGAGCAGCCAGAATCGCAGAGCAAAGGGCAGATGATATTCTGCAGGAGGGGCCGGAAGGCTAAGGAAGCAGCAGAAAGCACAGGCTAAGAGGTTGGGAGTCGGAGCTGAGTTCAGCAGCATCGTGGGGCAGGAGACAGAAATGGAGCCTGGGGCTACTGAGGCAGTGAGAACTCGAGAGGCCAAAATCCTGGGGACAAGGGAAGAAGAACATTGAGGTGAGCCCAGCATTGTGCTCCTCTTTTCCTCTGGGAAAACAAAATGATGTTCAGGGTCTCCTCAGAAGAACGGGTCCCATAAATACCTCACTTAGGACCCAAATAGATTTACAAGTTAGAGTAAGGGTTCCGGGCAAGTAGACTCATCCACAAGAAGACCAGAACCCACTTTCAAACTCAATCCACACTGGATTTTTTTAAAAAAATATGTTCTTTTTAGAGAGAGAGAGAGAGAGAGAGAGAGAGAGAGAGAGAAACATTGATCAGCTGAATCCCACACTCACCCTGACCAGGGATTGAACCCACAACCTAGGCATGTGTCCCGACCAGAAATTGAACCATCGACCTTTCAGTACACAGAATGATGCTCAACCAACTGAGCCACACCGGCCAGGGACCACAGGGGATTAAGAAGATCCCTACTCTATCTGCTTGCTCGGAAGCAAAAGTAGGGGAGCCGGAGCCACACAGTCCTATTTCCATTTAAATTGGTTAAAATTAAGTTTAAAGCATCATTCACCGGTCTTACTAAACACATTTCAAGTGCTCCGTAGCCACATTCGGCCAGTGGCTACCGCATTGAAGAGCACAGGTACAGACCATTCCCATCACAAAATGCCATTGTGCAGCACTGTTCTAGACTGTTCTAGAATCCAGAGGGAACATTTTCCAGAGCCTCAGAAAATCTCCACAATTCAATAAAAACTTTACAAGCCTATCGGGACGAAAGGGCTGCACACCAGGAGGAAAACAAAGCATCGACATGGTCACAGATGAACCAGATGTAGGAGTTTCAGGCATGGACTTGATCATCAACGTGTTCAAGAAAATAGATGCTAAAAAAAAAAATAGATGCTAAAATGGGGGCTTTCGCTGTCAAACTGGAACACTTAAAAGGAGAACTAGGCAGAATGGAATGACTGGCACCAGACTTACCCTCCTGCGGTGAACACCTATCAAACCAGAGATAACATGCTTGGCAACTCACCCCGCCTTGCTCCAGATATAGCTCTTCCTCCCAATCGCCTACCGTGATGACCAACACCAACACCCACCAGCCACCCAGCTGTGTGCCCACAGAGGCAAAGGCTTCCCCAAGAACTTCCTGTGAGCTTCCCCTTTCGACTTCCATGTTGGCAGCTGGGCACCTTGGCTTTTCATATTTTCAACCAGCTCTCTCACGTCCACCACTCCTGTGCTTCAGGTGAGCTGCTCCGTGATGCTGTCTCTCACCCTCCCGCGCCCTCCAGAACAGCACTTCCTGGCTCCTAGCACATGGTCTAAGGTCTGGGTTTTCTAATAAATCCCGTCTTCTCATAGTTCTCTGGGTGGCTGTCTCCCGGATCGCACCCCGTCTGTTGCTCAATGACAAATTACACAGACTACAATGTAGACCCTGGGTAGGATTCTCCTCCTCCAGGCATAGTTACTGTGGCCTGTAGCAGGTGGGTCACTGTAATCTGATCAAGGACTGAGAGAATTCAAAACCCGGCTGCCGTCCCTATGGGGGTCTCATCTATTTCCAGCCCATGGTCCTCAGTCATCTCCTGAAGGTTTGGCCTGGTCTTCAGGGCATAGGAGGACTGTGGAATGTGTTGGCCTCTTCCATAAATGAGAAGATGTAGATGATTCTACAGTAAACTCGTAAATTTCAGGATGAGAGAAGGTCAGAGCATGCGGATACACAGGCACTATGTCCTATACCGTGTCCCCAATCCTCAATACCTGCAGCTTCAACCCTACGTCCTTCTCTAAGTTGTACCCCAATGAAAACCAAGGACCAAGTCCCACAGCCCTGTTATCCTACACACACACACACACACACACACGCACACACAGCAGGGGGCAACAGCAACAGCAACAGCAACAGCTTGGGCTTGGAGGTAACAAGTCCAGGACCGCTGACATCATGGATCAGTCCTTTCTCTCTGACGAGCCGGGGAGATGGCAGAGCAGCAGACATCAATGGCTCTTTCTGGGTTGGGCTTCCTCCCAACACCTCCCCCTCTCAGGAGCTTTCTTCTCCCCAGTGACAACCAGGAAGTAAAGGGCTGAGCTTCTCACCCCAGGTCTGGTGACCACCTGTCAGGGATGGCCCCTTTCCCTCCCACTCCCCCCTCCTGTCACCTGTCCCAAGTGTTCATCCTCACGCACCCTCAGAGAATGGATGGAATGTGGTCTCTCTCTGCTTTCCCAGAATTCTTGGGACCTCTCTCTGGGAGCAGGAGGGCCTGGAAGCCAGGACCTACCTGACACCGAATCCTCTCTCTGTTCAGGCCCAGAGGCCAGTTACGGTCACACAAGAAGACTCATGAAGCGATGGCTGAACTCATACTCATCCCAAGGGGCCCCTGATGGGCAGAGGCTAGAACAGAACAGCGGCCCCGATCCAGCTGCAGATGCTCGAGCTGCAGATGGGAGTGTGCTGGTTTGTGGGTTTCTGGTGTCAATTTCACTTTAGAAAGCTACTGAACTTGGGTGTGGTTGTCAGTCCATTCTCATGGTTCCCATTGTAATGGGGTGACCCGCGGAGACGACCACCAGGACTCAGATCAAAATTTAGGAGCCTTTATTAAGCTGGCCAGCGACTATAGTTACAGCACCCTGCCGAAGCAGAGGCTGAACTGCAGCACTAACTGCAGGAGTTACAGCGTTTTTATTTGTAAAAACCACAAAGTTACAAAACCTTAGTTCCCGACACAGTACAGCATCATTACAGTGACTACCTTCCTATCTATGTGTTCTAGGAACAGAGAGTACAGCATGCTGGTAAGGGGCCATGAGACCATATCTCAAGGCCTGGCCTGATGTCAGCACATTCCTATCCATGTGTTTTAGGAACAGAAAGCACAGAGCGCCCGTCTGGCCGAAGCGCCAGATATGCAGCCCAGCACACCATGAGCCCTGCACTCACACCTTCTAACGTCTAAAAAACAGTTCTTTCAACCACAAAAGGCCTGTCCTTTTTTTAAACTTTTTTTTTTATTGCTTAAAATATTACAACGAGAAGTACATTTAGGCCTCTCCTTTTTTATTGTCTCTATTGAATCTCCCTCCACTTACCCCACTCATCTGAGCTGAAGAAGTGGACTTGGCACAGTGCCAGGCAAAGAAAAAGATCTCAGATCATGTTTTCTGTTGCCCAGAGCTCCCTGACAGTACAAGAAATGGGTTTAAAGCAAAAGCAAAATGATGGGGAGGAAGTAAGGGAAGGGCAGGAGTCTGACAGGTTTTCTGGAGGGAATGAGAGTAGACTCAGCCCTGAGGGGCAAGGGACCCAGTGACCTCTCAGAAATAAATTGTGTCTCTGAAGCCGTCTCCTCTTCCCTAGGATGAGGGAGGTTCCAGGGGGAGACTGAGGAGGAGTTTGGCTGCACCTCTGTCCTGTAGGACAGAATGTCACCAGCCTCACGCCCTGGCCTTACCTCCACATGAGACAGGTCAAGGTTCAGCCTCCAGGGGGCCATCCATCCAGCTGGGGAGCTCCTGGCCAGAGGGTTGGCGCTGTCCGTGGTTCTGGAGCACACCTGGGCTCAGTTCTGCAAAGGACCCCAACTCACAAAGCCAAGGTCTCCAGGCTTAAACCAGCAGGGCACCTAAGTCCAAGGGGCTTTGAAAAGGCTGGGTTCCTCTTGGGAAGGAAAAGTCAGGAGAAGGGGTGGGAGTGGGCTGGGCTCATCTCTGTGCTTTTCCTCTCACCATTCTGGTTGCCTTATTCTTTTGAGCTTATGCCAGCAAAATGCTAAGGTTCCACTTAGCATTTGCCACCGAAATGTCACAAAAAAGAGTAAATTCCCCCAATGAATTGCTACATGTCTTAGGGGACCTACCAATCTACTACGGCCACCATTAAGAATTAAGATGTCAGTTTGGCCTTCACAGAGGGTAGTTTTAGGAGGACGTTGGGATAGCAGGGGCCTGGGGAGGAAGCTGGGCCTGAGGAGGAAGAATGTGCAGACACTGCTAATGACAAGAAGAAATATTGATCAAGTGTGTTTACTGCCCACCAGCTGGAAAGACTGTTAGCTGTTTGCATATTTTCTTACCGGCACTAGAAATATAGGAATTCACCGTACACCATAAATATTGTGGGGACAGTGAACTACTTGATACGTTCATAAATAAAGTTGAACATTTGCCTTGGCTATGCACTGTGCTAGGTGCTAGAGATTCAAAAGTGATCAGAGCAACCCTGGCCGGGTGGCTCAGTTCATTAGCTCATCGTCCCATAGACAAAAAGGTTGTGGGTTCTATTCCCTGTCAGGGCACTTACCTACATTGCGGACCTCCCTGTCAGGGTGGATGCAGGAGGCAGCCAATCGATGTTTCTCTCTCACACTGATGTTTCTCTTTCTCTTCGTCTCTCCCTCTCTCTCTGTCTCTCTCTCTCTAAAAGTCAGCTTTAAAAAGTGAGCAAAGCAGATTTGACACTGCCTTCAGAGTGAAACAGGACATTCTGTGGAGCCTCAGTTTCTTCAGCTGTATAATGGGACAGAACACCATTACTCTGAGGTGACCTCAGGGCTGTTGTGAGGATAGGGAGGAGCTTTGGGGACCGGGATGGCCCCATTTCTGCCAGGACTAATGTGTCTTCATCATTTACTCAACCCTAGCCACACCTCTCCTCACTATTTCAGGGCAAGACAGTTTGTGTCATGATGATTCTCTCTCATCATTGATGTTTCTGTCTCTCTCTCTCCCTCTCCCTTCCTCTCTGAAACAAATTATATATATTTAAAACTAGTTCTAGTTTGTAACTTATACATTCTTATTTTATTATGTACAGTCACTACCATAAAAATTTCAGCATCATAATTAACTTACCAAAGTTTTAGTAAATGAACACTTCTCTCTCCTCCTAGGTAATATGTACATATTAAGAAATGTAAAATCCATTTTCCCCACCACAGCTACTTTGGGCTTAGCCGTTATTGCTGTTGAGAATTTAAATCTATATTTTTATTCTACAGGCAATAATTTCCCCATTTATTTGTACCAAAACATCTGTATTACTTCCTCATTTTTGAATTCTCTCTGCTGAGTATAAATTATAAAGTGACATTTAAAGATAGTATCTGCTTTCTTCTGCTTTCCATGGTTGCTCCTGAAAAGTCAATTAAACTGCTCTGAGCGAGTCCTCATTTGCCTGCACGCTTGATCTCTGAGTACTCAGGGCTGCCGGTGGCCTCCGGGTTCTGAGGCTCCCGTGTCTTCATCTCATAAAAGCTGAGGTTGGCGTAGTAGAGCTCTTGTTGCTCCCCGGAGGGAGGGGCATCCTTGGTGGGGGGCACTTGGTCTGGAGGCCTGTCTGGCCCTAGCTTTTCCTGGGAACCCTGAGTGGAGGGGAGGGAAGGGAGTCAGAGAGAAATAAGGCAGACATGGTCCCAAGGGGAAGTTGGGCTGATGGAACAGTTTTCATTCTTCCTCATTCCACACACGTCTTAAGAACTCAACTATTCCTGCATGCATTTAACATTCTGTAATGTTATACTGAAGGTCTACTAATCACGTTTCATCTGAACAGAAACCCAGCATGAATTGCACTCATTATCCCCATTTACAGGTGGGGAAACTGAGGTGAGGAGAGGTGAAGTAACATGCCCACAATGGGTAGGAAGTAGTCGTTTGGGGAGATGGCTCTGGCAGCCTGGGCCTATCAGAGAGGTGAGGTGGGCTCAGTGGTCAGTGTGGCTGGGGCAGGAGGCTGACCATGGGTTCCGGGAAATGAAGGGAAAGTCAACTCCCAGCTGCCTGTCCAGCTGACCAAAGAGGAGCTCAGTGTGAACTCCTTAATGGACATGCCCAACCCCCCCCCCACACACACGGCATGAGAAGACACCCCCGTCACTCACCCAGGTGCCTGTGCCCATGACAGGGTCTTCATCATTCGTGACCTTTGGTCTCCCGGCTGCTTGCCTCCTGCGGGATTTCACTCTAAGGGAAGAAGTCAGCAGCTAGAACGGCTCAGGCACAGATGGGCAGCTGCCCCCACTCCCTGATGGACAACAGAGGCATCCAGACCCTGAGGCCAGACTCAGAGACACTCCTGACATGCAGGTGAGGGTCCCGTCCCCCTGGATGCCCGGGGGTTTGGCCAGGACTGAATGTTCATCACCGAGGCCCCTCTCACACGCAGACACTTGTGCACGAGCCATCATCAGTGTAAGTCATGGCAGCCAAAAAGTCCAAGCAACCCAATGTCCGTAGTGAAGGAACGGACAAATCAGATGTGCCCCATCCAAACCATGGAATATATTTGTAAATAAAAAGCAATACAGTGCTGACACATGAACCTTGAAAATGTCATGGCCCTGGCCAGTGGCTCAGTGGTTAGAGCGTTGGCCTGCACACTGAAGTTCACAGGTTCAATTCTTGGTCAAGGACACGGACCTGGGTTGCAGGTTCGATCCCCATCTCTAGTCAGAGCTTGTAGACAAGGAATCTATGAATGTGTCTCTCTGACATCGATGTTTCTCTCTCTCTTTCTCTCACTCTTCCACTCTCTCTAAAACATCAATGGAAAAATATTCTTGGATGAGGATTAACAAACAAAATAATTATTATAATAATTAAAGAAAATATCGTGCTAAGTGAAAGAAGTCAGTCACAAAGGACCATGTGTTGTATGATTCCATTTATATGAAATGTCCAGAACGGATGGAAACAAACTAACAGTTAGTGGATGTGGGTGTCTTTTGCTTTTTTTTCATTATTATTTCAAGCAAATGAAACGTTTTAAAATTGACGGTGGTGATGGGTGCACAGCTGTGTGACTGAACAAAAATCCACTGAATTGTACACTTTAAATATATGGGAATTTTACCTCCATAAAGCTGCTACCCCTCGGCCCTCCCAAAACAGTCCCCTCTGGATGTACTCAGCCCTGCACCTCCCTGCCCCAGAGGCTCACATGCAAAAGGAGATGAGACACAAACACAGGGACAGCAGGGCCATGGCACCAGCACCTCCGAGAGCCGCAGGAACCACTCCCGCCTGGGGCACGGCCTTCCCTGCAGAGGAGAGGGGGGTGAGACACCCACTCGCGGGACTCAGTGTCAACTCTTCCTATGTCTTTGCTGAACCAACTGACGGTTCTATTCAGGTAGGAGATGCAGGTCCTGTCCTAGCAATCACTCCTGTCCCCACTCAGCCCTCATCTCCCCCAGCCCCACCCTCTCTCTGACCCACTACTATCTCCGTGGCCTCTGCCGCCAGCAGGCCCTGACCTGGCAGCAGCAGGACAGAGGCGCTCTGGGCCCCGTGCACATTCCGGGCCTCGCAGCTGAGTCTGAGGTCAGAGCTGAGTCCCACGCGGAGGCTCAGGGAGCTGTTGGTCCAGGGCCCCTCTGAGCTGGAGTTGACCGCGTGGGAGGCGTTGCCATGGCTCCCCTCCAACAGCCCCGCCCCCAGCCGCCAGCGCAGGGAGGGGGCCGGCTGTGCCCAGGAGGAGCAGCTGCAGTGCAGACCCTGGTCCTCCCAGGAGCAGGAGGGTCCCAGCAGCTGCGGGGGGTCTGTGGGGAGCGAGGAGAAGGGTCAACGGTGCATCTAACATCTCCAGGCACCCAGGTGACCTACTTCCAGGTGAGCCGCCCTCCTGGCCCCACTCCACCCCCATCTCAACCCACTACCCACTCACAGACCACGGAGAGGCTGAGAGAGACCCTTTGGGAGCCCAGCGGGTGCCGAGCTTGGCAGGTGAACTCTCCTTCCTGTGCAGGCCCCACGCGAGGCAGCTCCAGGATCGCGGTGCTGGAGATGGGGGTGGCGTTCAGGCCTGGGGAGCCCCGGAACCAGCTCAGCTCGGCAGGGGGGTAGCTGTCAGCCACACAGAGCAACCTCAGGGCCTCTCCCTCCAGGATGGGAAGGGATGTGGTTTGCAGAAACTTGAGGGCTTTGGAGAAAGAAGTGGGAGAGAGCGAGGGGGAGAGAGAGAGAGAGAGAGAGAGAGAGAGAGAGAGAGAGAGAGAGAGAGAGATGTGTGTGTGTGGAACACAGATGCAGGCACCCACCCACCAGAGGTGAGGGACTGGGGTGATTACTTTCATCCTTTTACTTCCCATGTCTCATCCCATTCAAACTCCTGCTCCCCCCTCTGCCCCACCAGGGCCCGGGGCAGGTCCCAGCCCAGAGAAGAGGGGTTCTTTCCTACCTGTGTCATTTCTGAAGGAGACACCTATGGTGAGGTTCTGAGGGGCATCTGGGATAGATAGACAGGGCTCCACTTCAGATGGAAGTCACCCCAATCCCAAGGAGGGGCGGTGGGAACCGGGAAGGAGGGGTTCTCTCTTTCTGGACCTCCCCTCCTTCAGGCAGATCCATGCATGAGTGTTCTCAGGATAGCTCAGCTTCCTGTATACACACACACACACACACACACACACACACACACACACACGCCACTCCACTGCCCCCACGGACACAGCCATCCCTCAAACACTCACAGGACACATCAAGTCGGATGGTTCTCTGTGTGGTCAACAGAGGCTGTTGGACTTTGACCTGACAGGTGAGGCTGGTGCCATGGTCCCGGGGCCTCGGAGTGAAGGTGAGCACCGAGGAGTGGAGGGTCTGGGTGTTCAGCGAGTCCACAGCGGCTCCCGCCCAGAAAAAGGTAAAATGCTGTCCCCTTTCACAGGCCCCTGGCAGGATGCAGGCCAGCTGTGTGCGCCGGCCGGACTCCAGCGGCTCCGGAATCTGGATGTGGGGTTTGTCTGTCAGGAAGAGGAGAGGGGGAGGTGCCTGAGCCTCATGAGCTGGGGACCCAAAGTGTGATCCTGAGTGGGACTCGTGCCTCAGGGCCCCTGAGTTCCCCAGGCCCTGTCATCTTCCCACCACCCAAGGCCCAAAGCCTGGACAGGGAGTGTCCAGTGTCCTGTTCTTGCTCTAAGACTGGGTCCCATGTCCCTCGGTCCTCTCCTGGGCCCCTGCCATACCTGTCACCTGCAAATCCAGCATCTTATCTTGGTAAATACGTCTCACTTGAGTTCCTATCTCCATTTGGAAGAAGTAGCGTCCTGTGTCACTCCTCTTGGCGTCTGTGATGCTCAGGGAACAGTCGTTGGTCCTGGGGTCCCTGAGGAGGAAGCGGCCTTGGGTCTCTCTCTTCACTGGTTTACGTGGGTTGTTTGAGGCCACAGGAGAATCATAGGCTGGGTTTTCCCTGTGCCGGTACCAGGAGGTGTAGAGGTTGCTAGGGGAATACCATGAACTCCAAGGGTAAAAGAAGGAGCAGGGCACATGGACACACAGACCCTCATGCACCGTCACCGATTCCTGCACTCGGAGCTCATACTGATAGCCTGGTTGCTGCTGCAGGGACCCTGGGAGGGAGACAGAGGCTCAGAGGCAGCTCCTGCTGATTCCCCCACCTGCCCAGCCCCCCTCTCTCAGCTCACTCACCCCTCCACAGCAGGGGCAGCAGCAGCAGGGGCACCATGTCTGCCTCTGGCAGGGCAGAGCGGGTCCGGGTCCCTGTGTCAGGGAGGGAAGTGCCCAGCTCTGGGGTGAGGCCTAGGACACCCCAACAGGAAGCTCTGGGGGAGAGAATGGGGCCAGGCTAGAAGGGGAACTTGGCCTCCACAGGACGTAGGGGGGTGTGGCTGAGAAATCATTCTGTCTCCCTCCCCCACCCTACTCAACCCTGCAGGTGGATATGCTGAGGCCCCCAGAGGTTGAGAGGCATGTCCAGACATGAATCTGAAAGTGATCACTTTGCAGATGATGTGTAAGTGGAGAGGGAGGTCACCCAGGGGGACACTGGGGTCAGAGCTGGACTTGGGGGAGACCCACCCTTGAGCTGAAACCACTGATGGGTCTGGAAAAGGATAACTTTACATTTTCTTTAGACAACTCAAGTGCCTGCAAGAGGAAAAGGAATTCAGACTCAACTCCAGTTGGGGGGTGGAACCCCAGCAAAAAGTTGAGCATTCAAGCCCTTTGCTCTGAGATTTGTGGGGACTTGGGAAGCACACGTGTGGGTCTTCCAGGGTCTGAGGGACCTGGGACAGTGACAGCACACAGGCCCCATCAGAAGGCGATGTGTGAAGGGAGATCTCACCCCATTCGGGGACCCAGAGGCAGGGCCTCAGCACATCAGCAAATTCGCCACCTACAGCTCAGGAAGCTCCACCTTCAGGCCCCTCACGTGCTCCCTCCCTTTTCAAAGCCCATCAAGTGCTCGAGTGATGCGTGGACATAACCTGCAAACCTACTGCTTTTTTCTGAAAGAAAGAAACTTGATCAATGTTTTCCCAAATATGACAGCGATGTGAAACTTCAGACATTCCCAGTAACAAATTGTGTGATTGAAAGAAATGTTTCTTTAATTGTACAGGAGGAAAAGAAATGTCAGTCAGCCATGCTGAAGGGAACACTGAATTCTCTCTCTATTTTCTGTCTTATCTATAGATATAAAAGGCTAATATGCAGAGTTTCCCCTTGGGAGTTTGATCGCTCAAAATGATGTGCACTGACCACCAGGAGTGACGTGAAACACAGGAAGTCCCTGGCTAGCAGCCAGAAGGCCCTAATCAGCCCTGACCACTGGCCAGGTCTAAGGACCCTACATGTGCATGAATTTCATGCTCTGGGCCTCTGGTGTAAATATAATATTCTAGTAGTTAATACTTAATATAATGTTAACATTTATTACTATGTGACAGAATTAGTCTCCTATAAAGAGGCAATCAAAGGGTATTGGTTAAAAACTGTGGAGCAGGGGTCCTCAAAGTACGGCCCGCGGGCCACATGCGGCCCACCGAAAACATTTATCCAGCCCGCCGGGTGTTTTTGCCGCCGCTGCCTGTCCTGCTTAGCAGCCGACTCTTCCCGGGCCCGCAGTGCGCATGTGTGGAATGTCTGAGGGACAGTGAACTGGCCCCCTGTTTAAAAAGTTTGAGGACCTCTGCTGTGGAGCTTGGCCAAGTGGCTCAGTTGGCTGGAGCATCATGCCTTACACCAGAAAGTTGTAGGTTAAATTCCTGGGGTCACGGCACATACCTAGGTGGTAGGTCCCATCCCCTGTATGGGCATGTAGGAGGCAACCGATTGAGGTAACTCTCCCACATATTATCTCTCTCTCTCTCTCAGGGCTCAGGATTGGAGCAATGGCCTATATCAACACTTCTATCTGGGAGAAAGCTGCTCCTCCCGCTCTATCCTAGATTCCAGATAAGTTGGTTCCTCCCTAAATGTCCCAGGTTTCTTTTAAGCTGCGGCCCAAGTGCTAGGGCTCAGAGAGAGTGAGTCTGAGTAAGACCCTGCTCAGGCCCTTTAAAAGGAGCTGCCTGGGGCTCCAGCAGCCTCTGTGTCACTCAGCCACAATCCCCGCTGGTTTTCTGAGCCAGAAGTTGTGCAGACTTGAAACCCTTGCTCCTCAGGGAAACCTCCACAGTCAAGATATCCCTCCTGATCTTCAACCAACACGTGTGGGTGTGAGATCAGCTGGTCCTGAGAGTCTTCCCTGCATCACTTCCCCTCCTACCAGTGTCAATGTGCATCTTCTTCAATTCCCTAGTTGTAGGAATTCCTTTCAGCTAGATTTCAGGTGGTTCTGGATGATGATTGTTCTGTATTTTAGTTGTAATTTCTCTGTTGTTGTGGGAGGAGGCGAGTTTACCTAT